AGCAAAATGCAGGGAAGTGGCGTGAATGCCCAGTCTCACTGGGTATTGTGACTCGTATCAGAGACGTCCTCGCTTTTCCTGTCCTGTTTTGTTTTTCTTTTTTTTTTCAGCAACTGCCCTGTTGACAAAATGCTAAACACTTGCACATGTTCCTTTTAACCCGAAAAACAAGTCTCGATTCTCAAAGTGAGTTTTTGTTCTGCTATTACACCCTCTTCCCACCAAAGTCTCATAAAACAATGCAAAATACCCTCCAGAGAGCAGCACACTTCCTACCACTTAGTCACTGGTGCGCAAGGAAATCCAAGGAAAATCTGACCACGTTCCCTGGTGTTGTTTCATTCACAAATGCATCCGATATCCAGGAAACTCCTTGGGAAATGAACCAGCAGCAAAATAACACATTCTCCCTGACCTCCTTGCTAAATATACAATGATTTATAATTACTCAAAGACCCAGATGAAAATCATTCTGAGGTATTACTCTGCTTCTGGGCTGAAACACCAGTGTTTTCATTTTGATACCACTGACTACACGATACCACCAGATACTTAGTAACTTTACCTTCAATTTAAGTTCATTGCAGACGCATCCTTCTTATTCCTACCACATCCCTGACACACGTGAACCACCACCCAAAAATCTAACCTCTAGGGGATAGTTTCTCATTTTACTGTAGGTTGCATAGCTAATAAAAGACTGTCGATGTTTGCTGCCTTCAGTTCTATCAGATGCTGAGGAGGAAAAGTGGTGCTTTTGGTTCTGCTTGCTCGGTTTGTACAGGTTAACCTGGCCCAGTTCAGGGAAGGTCTGCTGTCTAGATTTGGCGTGTGTGGCTGGGATGGTGAGATAATCTCACCTACTCAAGAGGCATGATGTGAAAGGGGAGAAACAAAAATTACGTACTGAACACTGCTTAGGGAGAGAGAGTGTGTATGTGTGTGTGTGTGTTGTGTGCATCTGCCGAAGTGGGTGTTTGCAGCAGGGCAGCAGAGGCAAATGTGGAAGTACCACAGCTCTAAAGAAAGAAGCTGTGTTTAGATACTTCAGCAGTTTTCCCTTCTTCTAGCTTAGTGACTAGAAGTCCGCCGGCTCAGTCTGAGCTCAGGCACCCTTCACCCTAACCCTGCGCCGGAGCCCCCGGTGTCCGTGTCCGGGGCCCCGGCGTCGGGGCGGGCGGCCCGGGGGGAGGACCACTTGCCGTTGCACTGGCCGGTGGACGTGAAGCGGTAGCCGGGCTTGCAGTCGCAGCGGTAGCTGCCCGCCGTGTTGATGCACTCCGCGTTGCGCTGGCACACCGGGCCATTCTGACACTCGTCGATATCTACACGCAGGGAGAACCGAGTTAGAAGGGGAGCGAGATCGGGTGTCAAGTCCATGAAGCCCCTCACATAACACAGACTTTGTATTTTCCTATTTTGATTGGATCTATTGAACCAACAATGGAAGAGGGAAAATTTATTTTCTAACTGTTCTGCTTTACAAGTATTTTTTCATAAATGCGAATACCTGATGTATCAACACGTATGGGCTCTCACGATGCCAGAGTCTAAAAAAACATCGTGAAACTGTTGCGAGGGCCAGGACTTGACATGGGTATAGATTGATATCCGAGGAAATCTTGTATTTTGCTCAAAGCCTAGGGTTTTTAGCATTCAGTCAGGTTGCTTCTGTCTGGAAGGCTGTAAGGTCTACAGAGCAGAGCATCTCAAACCTTAATGCGCACATGAATCACTTGGGATTTTATTGAAAGGCAGATTCTGACTCAGCGTGTCTGGGGAGTGCCTTGAGAGTCTGTCTTTCCGATAAGCTCCCAAGGGATGCGGGTGCTCCTGGTCCACAGACAGCGCTTTGAGCTGCAGGGCTGCAGACACTCTTGCTTAAACTTCTGCCACATGGCGGTCAAATCAAGGAAACTTAACACGAGAGGTTGCACAGAAAGCCACTGAAGATAATCCAACGTTCACTGTCAAAGAATAAAGTGGATACTGTGCGCTCCAGAGCTTTGACTGCACAGGGGATTGTTTATCTTCTAAAAAATTTAACAGCTACCTAATACAGTTCAAATTCATGGCATTGCAAAAGTTCCTGCACAGTCCAGGCTACACCATGGGGCAAATGCACGTTCCCTTCCCCTCCTCCTGGGGCACATTCTCATTCAGTCTAAATCCAGTCAAGAAAATACCCTGGAACACAGGTGGGAGTCAACTCTCAGCACCGGTACAGAGGTTTTAAGCAGAAGTTGGCTCAGCCAAAGAAGCTCCCACAAGGGGGCGGCAGATACATCACCATAGGCCTCCTAGGTGTGTGCTTTTGAGGTGGGAAAACGTCAGGACTACTGGCAGTCAGTGGGTTTCTGGCTAATACGGGGTGTGCCTCTCTGTGCAACTGATACAGCAGCAGGGCGTGCCCGCCCGGGGTAGGCGGGCCCAGGACCCAGCACCACCTCACCCACCAGGCCTGCTACCTGCTCTGAATTAAGGGTGTACAGAAACACAGAGGGTAGCTTGTGCAGTTGGAGAAGCCAAACGGTGTCCCAGACAAGCCTTTCTGTGACGCACCAGATGCCTAACATCTGATTATATGCATACTTGGGGAGAGCAGACGCACGGATGCTCCCTAAATCACTTCTGGAATCCGTTCCAATGTCAGGGTGGCTGAGGCATGTACTAAATCAACCTTTCTTTTCTGATTCTGAGAGCTTAGAGTGAGCTGGGAAGCAGCTGACCTTGGATTAAACATTCACCCTGAAGATGGATATCCTGTGAAATGGAAACCAAAAGTTGGAGCACTTTATAATCTCCGTATCCACTGAATGCAACCCTGACAGCAAAGTGCCTTACGCTGGTGCAGCTGCAGGGTTTCAATCTCAGCAAGGTCTCGGTTCATGTGGTGGCGTTACCTATGGGTTCTGGCGAAGGGCTGCGGCTTCAGCAAATGTAAGTACCAAAGAGGCACCTGGGTGAAGTAACGGGCTCTGCATGTGAGAGAAAGGGAGATGCCGCAAGAGGTGCAGGCATCCTGAGGCAGGTACGGCAGGTGGGAGACGGTGGCTGCGAGGAAGAGCCTCTGCTGGGGACCCTCCTCCTTCCCCACATTAGGCCTCCTCCCCAGACACCTGATCCTCGATGGCCTCCCAAGCACAGGGCCCGAACCAAAGCCGGAAATGACTACCTCCTTAGGAAGGAATGGCTGCCACCCCGTCCCCACCCCCGACACAGGAGGCAGAGTGAGGGACGTGTGCCCACTTGGCCTGAGTCCCCGAGAGCCTGGTGAGGAGAATTTAACCAGCATGTGCTGGGGGCTCTAACTTGACTCATGGTGTGTAAGTTGCTCCCAGTTTAGGGGGAGAAGTTTTTTAACATTAAAATGTTGACCTGTGTTCTCTAGCAAGATGCTTTAGAGGCAATAAGCTTTTCTAATATGAGTAAAAATTCTGCTCGAGGCCCAAAGTTTAATATTAAATAGAGAATTATTCTAGCTATCCTAGGGCCCATGGTATATTTAATAACCAGTAACGTCCCTTTTACTAAAACGTAAAAGAACGCTATCTTCCCCAGATGTTGGAAAAATATGAAGCGGGGTAAGGAATGTGCAGGATCACAGTACGTGCACATGGCAGGGGGAGGTAATTTGAAAATGAAAAAAGTACCATTTGCAGGCATGCCAACATTCTTCATATAAAATCGAATTTGCTGTTCTTGCCATTTGGAATTCTCTCATGCATCTGAAATATTTGCATTAACCTTGTTTTCACTTGGGAGTGGCAAAGGCTCCGTTTGGAAGAGAACACTGATTTTTGAGACTCAGCTCGAGATGACTGCCCACCACTCACGCGCACTTTCAGGCAATAGGAAACAAAAGCCATCTATTGGACACACCCAGGATCTCAGGGCTGTTTCCTATCAGCTGGGAAATCTAACACATTGTGTGTGTGGAGGTGGGGGCGGTCGGGGGAATGGACGTCCTGCTTTGCCCACTGGGACTTAGGGAAATTTGTTTTGCATGAAATGTCTGTTGATCCACATGGTGCCCTTCACTACGGCTGGAGTTGAATGGATTTCTGAAAATTCCAATGTTGTGAAACTGGCCAAGCGTGTGTGAGGGTACAGAGCTCATCAGTTGGCTCATTTCTGGCTGTGATGCAGTGAGAGCATCTCTTACCTTCACAAACCAATAACTTGTCATTATAGAAGAAGCCCACTGGACATTCACATCGGAAGCTGCCAACCATGTTGATACACACGCCGTTTTCACAGACCCCTGGGATCTCCCGGCACTCATCGATATCTGGAAACAAAGCAGGCACGTGTGAGTGACGGCAAGGCACGTGGCCCCTGTGCAGGGTCGACTGGAATTGAAAGTCGGCTGCTTCTGACTCATTCCATGTAAGGTCTAAAGCCAAAGAGGAAGTGCTCACGCATGTGTGTGTTTGTGTGTGTGTGTGCGTGCGTGGGTGCTGTGGGGGGCATCAGTGAAGAGCAAACTGAGAGAACTAAACCACTCACCACACTCATGGGTCTACCTGGATTGACTGTCTTTCTAGGTTGTTTCAGAACATCAGCCTTGTCCAGGTAGGAACCATCTTGGTGCCCACTGGGCACCAGATGAGTAGAATAAAAGTGACTGCCAAGAGGAAGGGGTCTCTCGGCCCCAAGTGTGTGGTGGCATCTGGCCAACATGGGAAAGGAGAGCTGGTGAAGAACAGAGAATGAGTCCATGGTCACAGTCGACTCTGATCTTTCAAATTCCACTTCCGCACCCCCTTCCTCCTTCACGTGGCTTTGGAAAGGAGGTTAAATCAGGTAAGAACCAATACCCGGAAGTGGGGTTCACGAGCATGGAAACAGGACTAAAGTAGGAGAGAGAGCAGAGCCAGGACCCAGGCCGCTAAATCAAGCTGGCCAGCTGGTGAGGGAGCCACGCGGGCAGGTCTTGTCTCCTCACCAGCCGGTCGGTCCACTCTCTGACCGGCCGGCTCTGAACTCGAGACCGTCCCATGTCCCCCAGGAAAATGACAGTAACAGGGACAGTAACAGGGGTGCCTTACTTGCTGTACGCCTGGTATGTTCCTTACGCATTCAGCCTGGACCTACTCACTGCATCATCACAGCCACCCCACGAGGTGGTCTCTCGGCCCCAGGACTGTCCTCATGATGCAGAGGATGGAACTGAGGCCAGGTCAGAGGACGGAACTTGCCAAAGACCATACAGCCAGAAGGAGGCAGAGTCAGGATTTGAGACCAGGAATCTGCTGACAGGCCGTCCTGCCTCCCTTACGGTGTTCCACATCCCAGTCATGCAGCCTTCACGAAACCATCATCAAGGTGCTTGCGGTCCCGGAGGGCCCTCTACCAGCCCAGGGGCAGTTTCGCCAAACAACTTCAGAAGCCCAGCCGGGATATAAAGCTTTGGTCTTTCCAGTCCATTAGTCTCCTCTTACTGTTGTTGAGACATTTTCCTTTACACATCGTGGTCAGCAGCCTCTGCAAGGGACTCTGTCTGTGTAAGTTGTAAGTAGACGGCCAGAGACTTAAGAGGAACCAACGAGAGCTGGTGCACTCTAAGAAGAACCACACACTAGAGCCTCTCTGTTCTAAAGGAGGAGTCTGACAGGCCACAGATTTACGTTAGGCCTTTTTCTAAAGGGTTTGACTTTGTCTGAAGACAGATCGACCTCTTTCAGGGAAAAAAGAAACAGCTTAGAGTATCAAAGGGTATGTATTTCTATTTTGAATACAAGAAATTATGTTTTTTGATTTTTTTCACACATTTGTCACTCACGTTCTTGAAAAGTTCAACTATGAACCGTCAACAAACAGCAAAAAAAAAATTCAGACATTCTTGTACTATGTATGGGTTAAAACATGAAATATGTTCATATTCATTTGTTTTAAATATAAGTGATGTATTATCAAGTTTAACAATAACAGGCTGGCTCAAATTTCTAGTCATTGTTAGGCATAAGAGAGCAAAAGCATAGATTAAAAATTGTATTTTCTTTTCCTGTCTGGATTCCATTTGAACTTCAACTTGGAGAAGTTTATATTTAAAGACAAGATTAATAAACTTGCTATAGTTTTAACCCCATACGAATGGGTTCTAGATGCCAACAATCTTCAGACCTTTCAGAAGGAGTGTATAAAGCTTAAATAAAACAAAGTCTCTCAGTCATCTAAATATTTTGTCATGTTGGAATTTGCTAACAATAAGTATACTGCTAACTATCACATTTCCAGTTTTCAAGAGCTAGAGGCAAAGGAAGCTGTGAGTCAGGACTGGATCCGTGTCCCAGCTCTGTTATTAATTAGCCAGGTGACCTCGGCCGAGTCCCTTCCCCTCTCTGGGCCTCTGTCCCCCCAACTGTCAGGCGAGGCGCTTGGACTAGATGATGTCTGAGGCCTTTCCAGCTGTGTTAGTGGACGCTGTTAATGCTGTTTTAAGTCTTTGCCTGCTGCCAACCTTGGAGGGCAGGCCTTGCCGGGGTACACGCCTGGTCCGTCCATGGAGGACCATTACTGTTAAAGACCGCTTATCTCCAGATCAGAGATTCTAGGGAGATGAAAAGATCTGTTTTGGGAAGGGGAAAAACAAAGCAGCGAGGGCCAGGTGTTTCATGCCAATGTCATTTAGCAGTTTTTCTTTCCAAACCATGAAGTTTCTTTGGACGTTGACTAGACTGTGGAGCCATATGGATTTGGCACTAAGAGAGCCGGGCTGATTGCTGGACCAGACCCTTGTTTTCTTAAACAAGGTCACTGGAAAGGCTGATGCGGATTTCAGTTTACTTATTAGGAATAAGGTGGAACAAAGCAAGGGGTGATGTTTGCTGCTAGACACAGTCGCTCAGACTTAAGAGGGGCATCTCAGGATGCATATAAATCTCACTGGGGAAAAACTCTGAGAATGCAAGAGCTTTCCATCTACTTTTATGTTATTTGGTTTTAAACCACAAAGGCACTGCTTCCGTTGGCTGAACGCTGTGCAATACTTCTGAATCTCGCAAAAGCATCTCTAGCGCTGCAGTGGTCTCTGCACCAGTTACCAGACGGGGGCCTCGGATTAGAAAGACTTTTTTTTTTTTATTTCATATCTGAAAACCCCAAAGCAGATGACCTGAGGAGATTCCATGTGAGATAAAACTGATCCACCAAAGGGGCTTTATGTGAACAATCTACACATAACGATTGGTATGAAAAGTCATATTAAACCCATGTCTTAGGCAGAAGGCAGGCTTGGGACTTACAGTCAAATCAAACGTCAACTGGCCCTACTCCCAGAATCTCTCTTTGTTGATGCCTAGGGTTGGTTTAACGAAGCTTGATTGTAATTTTGTGAAAAGCTTTCCAGTCCCCTTAATCATGAGCAACAAACCCTGCTGCCAATTAGGCGGAGCTACACAGGGTGTCTGTACAATTTGTTTCAAACTAAGAATTAGAGTTTCAATAAAGCTAAATGGCACTATTTAACGGTTTCTCCCTCTAAGGGGGAAAAGAAGCAAACTGAGAAAATAACAGCGTATACTTCCTTCTCTTAACACACAGGCAGAGACACAAGGTTCCAACAGTGGCACCATAACTCACCAACAGGTAAGCCGGTGTAAATGTCGATGACGAAGCCGGGCCTCTGACTTCCACAGAGCGTAGCAAACTCATCTGCAGTGATTTAACACGGGGAGGGTGAGTGGGGTGGAAACGGGGGTCAGCAAAGAGCCATAACTGAGCTGAGTGAAATTACTTTGTAAATGTTCTCGAAACGTACTTTTCCGTGCTTGGAAGAATTTAAAATAAAAAAATAAATCTGAAAATTCCTACAAACGGTGCAACCTTGCCCTGAAGACAAACACTGACGGAAAAGTGACCTGATGTTGACGTGATAATGAGGCAGAAGCAGACGCCTCTACATCATATGACACTCATTAGTGGGAGCGTACTGGTAGGAATCTGGGTTTCCATAAGGATGCTGTTCAGCTCTGAACCCAGGGAGCGGCCCGAGTGCCTCTTTCCACTCTGTAGTAAGGGATCGAGGATTTAATGAAAGCGTACAAAAGCCGTTTCCTCGGTCACCTTGGGGAGACCCGTGGCAAATCTAGCCAAGTTCTTGACATCAGGTCCATTAAGGACTAATTCATGTCAAACAACCAACTTATCTCATTACTTCAATTTTTGGAGCTGGATTTCTTTTGGTGCAGCTCTCTAGTTCACTGTCCCTCCCCCAACCCTGTATCTCTCTCACCTGAATTCATCACAGTTGACAATAAAGGAAGCGCTAAATGTCATCTGTGACCCCTTTTAACTGAGACTCTGCAATTCCAGATCAGAAGTGTAGCAGATATGGCATGGTATCAATTCAAGCTCAAGATGGCCACTGCCTTATTGGTCATACCTACTGAAAATTAGTAAATGGTCTCTGGAAGTATTTTAATCAAAATGTAACATGTTTTCCTCCTAGTGCTTTATTTTCTTCTTCTCTGAGTGTCCACTTCCAATAGGTGTCACGCCAGCTACGCTGACCCCCCAAATTTCAGGGACTCCTAAAATGTGTGCAGATGGCACAGCGAATGAAAAGCCATGACTGGATCTGGCCAATATTCAACATGAAAAAGAAATCTTGCATTTTATATTAAGAGTATGCAGATTCTTAAAACTCAGACAGATATTTCTGAAAGTAAATGGCAGTCTTTATCAGGGATCTCCAAAGTGGTCCCAGAGGAACGTACAATGATCCATTAAGATAAAAAAGAAAATATTAGGACTTCTGTCTTTGAAAAATCTAATTAAAAATAATTTTGTGTATATTTTATAATAGAATAATTTATGAAAATAAATGCATTTTTCAATATAATTGAAAACAAATATATAAAAACATACACACATATATATACTTTTACTTGTAAATACACACACCAAGTGTGTGTAACCCCCAGGTCTTTTAGTGATGGCTATGTATGATAAAAAGATTTGATTGGGTTTATCAGTAAAGATTAGGGGTCAGCAGATTTTTTTCTTAAAGGACTGAAAAGTGAATATTTTAGCTTTTGCAGGCCATGCAGTCTCTGTTAAAACTACTCAACTATTTTATGAAATCAACCATAGACATATGTAAAAAAATTAGTCGGGCTGTTTTCTAATAAAATTTCTTTTACTAAAATTTGAAGTTCATAAAATTCTCAGGTCGTGACATATTATTCCATTTTTTTTTTCTCAACCATTTAAAAATCATTCTTAACTTGTGGGCCACACAAAAACAGGTCAGCTAGATTCAGCCTATGGCCTCTAGTCTGCCAATCCCTGGTCCAGAGACATCGTGCAGAGTGGGGGTAACCTGCAATTCTAGGTGGGGGTTATTACATTATTTCTGGAGCAAACAATGGATGGAATGGCACATATCACTGAAAAAGAATCTTCTCTTTCATGCATTGCCAGGTGGCACCAGACAACAGATTTAGTATTTTACGTATCATCGTGGGGAATGGAGTGGGTATTACACAATTCTCGGATTGATACTTTGCGTGGTGGTTCCTTCAGTCTAAATCAAGCCATTAGTAAATGTCGTCATCATGATATACATGATCTATGTCATCTACCGTGTAAGAACAGGGCACCAAAGTTTTTGCTTCAATTTCTCTTAGGATATAAGTGAGACCTTTTTTTCCCCCAAATATAGACTTTTCTCTATGAGGACATAAGAAGAAATTTCTCCCAGATCTCAGCATTGAGAAGCTGCACTTTTCTTTAGTGTTTAGTTTGCTTTATGGCCACTGAGCCCCTTAGACTTGCTCACCTCTCTCTTTTTACATGAGCTGCTAGGAGGTGTAGCACCCAAGTCAGTGCTCATCACGGCAAGTGGGTCGGAACCCCCAGCCTGGACCTTGTGTGTCACCCCTGCTCCTTGCTCTAAGTGTCTCACCCTTGCTTGCCACTTGCCTTAGGCATTCTGATTTTACATCTGCACCCTTGTGGGCCACCGTGAATTCTTTTTGGAACAAGATTAGTTATAAATAAGTAAAATGAATAGGACTGTGGTTCACTCATCTGTCATATTGTTTTGCCCAGTGTTCCCAGACTTTGGGTTACATGGCGAACTCCAAAACAATGATAACAACGCTTATGTTTCTGTGATATGCCGAGTCTCTAAGTCTGGTGAATGAACTAGCAGATAGATTAGAAAGCATACTCCTGGACTCAATCTTCAGCTGGAAGGACCAGGATCAACTGCGAATTTAAATATTTGTCTTTGTGAGCTAACCTTTTCTTAGGAAGATAAACAACGCCTCCTTTTCTTCCCTCACTGAGATTCATTTCCTCCGCCATTCACAGGTAATGTACTGAGCTATCTTTTTGGTAACGGTGACACCAAAACTCACCTGTACTCGGGATGGGACACTGCTCACAGGGTTTATTCCAGGCCCGGCCAATGTTGTAGGAACAACAGCACATCTTCTTGGTCATGTTGAACAACAGCTCCCCATCGCAGGTCTGGTTGTCAGCGTAATAGTTCCTGTAGCACAAACTCCTCCTCATATCTGGAATAAAGGAGAGACGATGGACTGGTGAGGCCGTAGGGAAGCCCAACACGAAGAGCCTACGGGGCGGGGCGGGGGTTAAGGAGTGAGTTTCTTTTGAACTGCCTCGTACCTGGACTTGGAAAAGGGCAGGGAAAGCCTGCTTGCACACAGCTCTCCACCTACCTAGGCTGCTGCGAGAAAAAGGACTCTGGGAAACACTCCGTGCTGTTTTGTGCCACAGGACTAAGTCATTATGTAGCTGCAGCACGAGTAAACTTTGCACGACTCTCCACCCAGTCTCCTAGTAACAATTCTCCACTGCTCTTTGGCAGTGATTTTCTCATTTCCGACTCAGGATGTTTTAATACTGTAGGTCGGTGCTGCAAATATAATTATATAAAGATACACCCACAGTCAAACAAAAGAAGTACTATTAAACCTTTGTTTGCGATTTGCCAACATTACATTTTAAAGAAAACTCCCCACCACCCACACGAGGTGGTGAAAAAAGGCCACGCCTATGGTTTACAGGGGAGGAGGTTGTCACGGTGACAGGATGGCACCGCTCACTCCGATGAGTAACGCCACGCTGAGGACTAACTGCTGGGCTCGGAAGCTGTTTTTCTCTTTGCAGATGAGGACCAGACACGCATTCTAAAGAACAGCCTGGACTTACCCATGCAGTTATTGCCCCCGTTCACTTGCATGTAGTCCGGAGGGCAAATACAGGTGTAGTTGCCAACGGTGTTGTAACATGTCCCTGGACCACAGATTCCTGGAGTTTCACATTCATTCACATCTATAATCCAAGAGAGAGTGGCATGTGAATATGGAAACTTCACTCTTTGGAATGGCCTGGTACTCAGGGTCAATGTAAATGTTGACAGTGGACGAGAAAAATCCCCAGGGTACTTGAAATCTGGATAAGGAAATGGATGTCGAGTCCGTCAGTGTCCCTAGTCTGTGCTAATGTGTGCATCTGCAGGAGAGGGTTTGAGAAAAGGACATTTTGCCTTCTGATATGAGTTCTTAATAAATGAGTCCATAACACGCTCAGACACATGCAGTGATGGAAACGTGGGAAAATTATCATTCTCAAACGTCCTTCAGAAAGACAGCTACATACTTCATATGTTCACAAAATCTCAGGAAGTATATGACAGATCCCGAAGCCATCAAAAACCGGCTTCATGACTCTGCATTGGTAAGATCGCTGAGAAGTAGGTACATCACACCGTCTTCCCCATTTACAAACACAGGGGTTGATTCTAATTCCTGTTAACTCCACAGGTCGTAAGCTGTGTCACGTGCACTGTGATGCTCAACTAATCTTCAGCAAGACTGTCACTGCCGAAGTCACTTAATAAGCCTTCTGGAGAGCCAGAGGGAAATTCCTCCTCTGGGATACGCAGAGGTCTCTTCCCTCATCAGTCTCGTGACTTCTGTATGTAGATGAAAACCATTTCCCCGTGCTGGTCAGTGGGCCACGTGCCCTGAAGCTAACAGTGGTCAATATTCTCCATCTTTCCAATAACACAAGATGAACAGGAGTCATCACTTATATCGTAAAACCCAAGGGGCTGCCCTCGAAGAGAAGCTCACTGAGATGCATTAGGACAAGTGGTGAGCGGTGAGGACACGGAGAGGAGCAGCCCAGAGCTGCCCAGGCTGCAGAAGCCACTGAGGCGACACCTGCGCTACCCTAATAAAAATGGCTTTTCCAAACAGCATGGAAAACTCTCTGTAGGCATAGACGGGACTATGGCTCAAGATAACAAACCACTTTCCTTGGGAAAAGCGGGAGACTTAGGGCGTACTGGGAATGACACGATCCCACTAACATTAGCACAAACTGCCACAGGTGGGGCGTGTTTACCTGGCCATGTTTACCTTCAGAACAAGGTGCTATGTTGCTAAAGTCTCAGTTTTCCTGGTAACTAACTGTCTGCTGGTTTTGGAGGTCAGTTCTCAACATCTGAAAGAACTCATCACCCCAGAAGGGCCATTTACCATCGCACACTCGGGTATCTTCATTCAGATAGTAGCCCGTTGGACAGCGGCACTGGAAACTGCCAAAGGTGTTGATGCATTTCCCGCCCTGGCACAACCCTGGGAGCTCCTGGCACTCGTCAATATCTGCCAAAATGAAGACAACAGCATCTCTTCAGTGTTGTAAATAAACCCAGGGAAGTTCGAAAGGGGCACACTTTCAGATAAAGGAAACAGAATTACCTTCCAGAATAACAGTGATCGGGTTGGGTCGAAAGCCTTCTCCTCCAGGACAAAGAATTTTGTACTCAGCTGTGGAAACGAGAAATCAGATTGAGTTCTTTTGAATCTAAACTTTCTAGAAATAGTATTCTCAGGAGAAATACTGACATGTCCAACTGAAAATACTCATTTTCAGGAATCTTTAGCAGTTGCCCCCATCCAATGGAAGTGAGTTAACATCTTTGTGTATACCTATTATTTCAAATGGCTTTCGAATGGAATTCCCTACTTATTCTTACATGCTCAGAACTTTAGATTATATTCACAAGCTCACACACACACACACACACACACACACTCACACAGGCACACCAAATGCATGTGATCATACATAAGGCTACGTGTGCCAAACATGAAGGTTACTGTCCTCAGTCTCTGAACCTTCTACCTACTCTCTGGCCTTATGTTTTTATGAGCTATTTTATTCCCTATGTCCGTCATTATTTCTTTGTAAAGATTGTATTTCCTTTTCATTTTGTAACAAACTCCTTCATTTTTGTTTTGTTCAGTCTTACTTCCTGGGAATCACAGTTCCCCGTAATAGTGTTCATCAGCTTATCTCCGAAACCGTTTCCAAACAGAGTCTTAGGAAAGGCTCCTCCTTCTTGGTTCCCATCCCACTGCTCTCCTTAATGATCAGAGATCTCTCTCGCCCCTCGGTGTCTACTGAGGGCGACAGTGATTCCTCTGGATTTCAAAACCAGCTTTTTACCAGGTCCTTTGATTCCCTCCACTAATTCTGTCATCCAAGTACTTCACTCAGAAACATTTCTCTCAGGGCCATGTACCAGCAGTGAGATGCCAACAGGAGCATATGGGTGAGAGTGACCCTAATCTGCTGCTTCATCCTGGCCAGCATCTGTAAGAATCAGTTCTTTCATAATCACCATGCTCTTCCCAGCTCTGAAAAGCCCTCTCCTGGCTTTCTGAAATTACACGTGTATACATGCATAAATGTAAATACGGATATATTCCAGTTCTAGCTCTGATCCAGTCTAAGGCAGGAGGTAGGGTGGACCTCCACTGCTTTGCTGACCACTCCACCCACCATTTAAACATCTTGGTTTGCTTTTTTCAACATCCGAGGAACAAAGAGGAAATTAACTATCCTCTTTTATTTTTTCTCACCTCCTCTTTCTACAATCACCCACTCTTTTTAAGTCTCTCTTTCACGCTACACCCTTCCTTCAAGCCCCACATGAAAAAATGCACCAAGTCATCACCACCCACTGCCAACCCGAACTGACTTTCTTTTCTGCAGAAAGGAGAGAAGGCGGTGCCTGCCAAGCATTCTCCCCTCTGCTGAGTGCTCTGCATGAGTGACTTCATTTAATCCTATGAGGCATTTTATGAATGAGGAAACAGGCTTGCTGAGTAACTTTCCCAAAGTTACACGGGTGGCAAGCGACAGAGTCCTAACTGCAGCCAGTTAGGACTAACTTCCTCCCACTCGTGGCCCCGAGTCTGCACCTCTTCCTCCCTTTACTGAGGGAGGTCTATCCTGAATTACAGCTTTCATACGTGGGTCACATTCTGCTAGACTGTACACTCCTGGAGGGCAGGATGTAGTGTAATTCACCTCCGCACACCCAAAGTTCATACTCCAGGTACTCGGCAAGTCATTTTAGAAAAAGTGAATAAATGACCCTTCAGCAAGGAAAGAATCAATTCCTATCCAACATCCCCCGTAGGCAGCAGCCACTGACCTTTGCCCATGAAGCCACATCTGACTCTGAGTCATAACACAGCACCCACTTAGAAAAAGGGAGAGCCTTTTATTTTATTTTTTTTAAAAGACTTACTATTTTATGTCCCCAAAATCATTCTAAACTTTTCTTTCAAGTCATAACACAAGAACGGAATAATCTTCCATGTCCCAATTGCTTAACTGATTGCTTCTTTTTCAACCAAGGACACTCCCGTCTGCCCTTGAGCTTCTAAAACTAGCCAATCGGCGACAAGAAGAGAGATCCATGTGTCCCAATGTGATGTAAGTGACCAAGCCTAGAAAAACATCTCTGTTAAAATAATGCTATCTGCTTTTCACTCAGACAGAGGTGAGATGTTACCTGCCCCGCCTTGAACTTTTTAGTACCAGCCACCTGGGGACTCTTTCCGACTCCCAGGTTGGAAGTGGGATTCCTCAGCAGGAAAGGATTGATCTCCTTTCCCTAACTGAAGAGTAGAGACCAGGGGCAGCCCCCTCCCTCCGTGGCTTCTGTTCTCTGGAGCTAGAAAGGAGAACTGGACTGAGCTGGAATAATAATAATAATAAAAAACAGAAGGCAGGCCACTTACTTGTGTTCACAGGAGGGCACAGCTCACAGGGAGTACCCCAGGCTTTACCCAGAGAACAGCAGCAGGACGCTTTGGAAACACCAACTCCAATTTCATTGCTACAGGCTGTATCCCCATTGTCTCCTCGAGGTCGAACATCCAAATAGCAATTTCCTGAGCGGGTGTCTATTTACCAAACACAGACAAAAGAGTGTCAGGCACATTCTTTCTACCTGAGGGCCGAAAATCCAAACTCACTTCAGAAATTGTTTAAAAGCCGCAATTTACTAAGAAACTAAAAAGTGCCCCAACACGTACACTGGGAATTTACCTAGAGAAAAAGACCCAAAAGTATAAACCAGGTTTAAGAAATGTTTACATTTTTATAGTTATTACTTTTTCAAAACTTGAGAATGTATTGTTCGATGTTTCTTTAAAAAGTACCTAAAGTATGTTTCTCTGAGAAGTTTTTTTTTTTTAAGATCTTACCAACACAGCCAACTCGAGTTGGATTCAGCTCAAAATCGGGGGGACAGTCACAGGTATAGCTGCCTGGAGTGTTGACACAGTTCCCACTGATACACGTGGTTGGATCCAGACATTCGTTAACGTCTAAAACCAGAGAGGGAGGGGCAGAGTTATCGCCAGAGCCAACGTGGGGCAGGTATCACCGTAAAATGGTAGCACCAAATCTAGCGGTCCCAACTAGAATTTTTTTTAAGGGTTTCTAAGTTATAATCACCCCTAGAAACAGAGTCTTCCACTTCTGAAATGAAACCCCTCAGGAAGGAAATATGTCATAGACTTTGGTCTCTTCCCCCTGGAACACATTTAGTATTCAAATTTGTCATCAGGAGAAAATATAACTTTGGAACTAGGGAAAATATTCCAGTGAAGGTAACTGAAAGCAAAACACTGCCATGACCTCGGTCAACCAAAAATTCAGACACAGGTTTTAAGAAAATATATTTAATATGTGCGGCTTGTTATTTTATCAAATTAGAGCAAGATGTCCCAGGGAACCCTCAGGAGCAGGCGACTCTCGCTGCTGCCCCCGCTGGGCGAGCCTGCCCCGGTGCCGCTCTGAGCAAGCGCAGACCCGCGCACGGGGCTCAGCGTGTCCCCGCAAGCCTGCTGAGGGCCTCTCCCGCCGCTGATGCTGGGTTGAGTATATTTCCCTTTCAGTTTCTATTCCAAAACTATACACAGAATCCCACGTATCTCAAATTCCACCCCTGTGCAATCCTTGTGTCTATTCTGAACACTAGAGAAACACTCAAGAACAGACAAACTGATCCAGAGAGGAGAGACGGGGCAAGTTGGATGATACCTTCCCCTCGGGTCCTCGCGCTGGGACCTGGTAACCCTCCTGGAGGTTCCGTTGTAGAAAAGTCTTTTGCCCACGTCGCTCATGAACTTGGAGGGACAGGGCAGACTAACACAAATCAGGGTGGGTAGAAGGAGGCTGGCGGTGATTTGCGGCACCGAGGAGAAGGCACGGACCATGCAGAGGCTGCTTCCTGAGGTGTGCTGGAGGCCGGCTTGGTGTCATAATAGTTTTTTGAAAAACCAAGAGAAGAATGTGTGCCTGGGGAGGAGTACCTGAGTCCCGAGCAAGTTCGGGGTGGTGGTTGTGGTGGTGGTCAGAATTAGAGAACCACTGAGTCTTGACTTGTTTAGGTAGCTGGAAAAATCAGATTTTCCCTGAAATGCCATGCATAATGGAACTTGTCTCCTTGGTATCCATCCTAGGATGGAGAACTGAAAACAGCTCTCCGAGTCTCAGTGCCAAAGCGAACCAGGTGACGGGCTACAGGGTGCCTACGGCTTCTCTCACTTTTTTCTTATGTTCCTGGAAAGCTCCCTGCTCTGCAAGAAAATGATCTGCCCACCAAAACGGGTGGCTGACTTCTGTGTACCACACGCTCTAGTGATCAGCTGCAGGCTGGGGCTGGAAAGCAGTAGGTGTTTCAACCAAGCAGTGAAAGAAGAAACCCGTGACCCCAGGGTACAGCCTCCAAAAACGTGCCCAAGGAGATAAGGAATGCTGCCGGCCCAGCACGTCTCCTCTATGGCCACGAGCTTGATCCTAAGGCTACCAGCTCTGCACCTGCAGCTCTCTGTGATTCTTTCCTCTGTATCCTCACATCTATCTAATCAGTTCCAGGTCCGAAGAAATGTATTCTGTGACTCCTAATGCTTTACCCCGCCTTTCTTTTGTGACTCTGTGAATATCCTTGCGTGGTCCCAGCAAGGCCGCAACAGCCGGGTCCCCTGGGACACCCGGGAGCTGATTTCCAGGCGAACGGACGCCTTACCTGTGCAGTTCCCGCCGCTTCTGTCCAGCTCGTAGCCTATCTCACACTCACAGCGGAACAGGCCGGGGAGGTTGTGGCAAGTTCCGAAAACACAGATGTTCGGAAGAGAGCACTCATCGATATCTTGGGGAAGGGCGAAAAAGGGGAGAAATTAAATTATTTTCCACTAAAGAGGTTGCCTAATGTAATTAGGCAAGTGATGTTATTCTTAAGAAAACGAAGACTGACATCAGCCTAGGTCCTTCTCCTACAGACTTGTAGACAATTTGTCCTGTTAAGGAAGTCTCCTAGGTGAGCACATACCTTTTCTCAGCCCCTGTTACACGCCCAGCGGTGGGCTAAGCATTTTTTGTGTATGTATCTCATTTGTGGAGTTTTATGTAGGTCCACATCGCTTTTGTAATGGTGGCCGAACAAGCCACCTTAGACTAAATTCTTGGTTTGTTTATTCTGTACTTATGCTTTGTTTACTTTTAGAGGAGGTGCTGGGGATTGAACCCAGGACCTTGTGCCTGGTCAGCATGCGCTCTGCCACTAAGCTATTACCCTCCCCCCTTGGTTGTTCTTATCTATACATTCACTGTGTTTGTTGTGAGTAAAAAGTTTAAGAACCACAAAGGCTTTGCGGTAACTTTTGTCCTCAGTTTTCTAGTCCTCTGTATCTGCAGGACTACGGCATGGGTGTGCAATTGTCGGCAGAGATCTAAAAACCGCAGATGCTTTTCCCGGGCCTCCACCCCCTGCCTCCCGTTAACATTCTGCTTGTGTAATTGACACGCAGGCACATTTGCAGCCTTGAGACTGGCTTTAAATAGCCATGAACACTGTCAGTGATGATTTATATTAAGAACAAACAAACAAAACCTTCCCTTATAGCATGAAGGGAAGCGAAACGTTGTGCTTATTTCTGTTCCCAGAGGTGGCGTGGTACCTGTTTTCCTTGGATGTTTGCAGTCACAGAAGTAAACAAGACATTAGGCACATGATCAAGAGCATAATCTACTTTCTTGCCTCAGAGAAACTTTGTATCAGACTCTTCCTATTTAGTATAAACTGGATAAAGAAAAGCCAATGGTTCTATAACAAAGAAAAGTATTTACATAGAACTATGTGAGGGAATTACTATACACAAGTCAGAGCTAAAGACTGATTTTGAGTTAATGTCCAATTAACAAGCAACAACTATTAGCTAAGACATTAATCAGAGTCTTGTTTAAACTTCTGCTGTCAATTGTTACCGTGTATTTATTTCTACTGAAATCTTTTTAGTTCACTGCGGTCACTAATACTTCTCAACGAGGGATAAAGTTCTTGAATTTGACAAGTGTGGGTAAAAAGGAGAATCCTGCATTTCCTAGTGGGATCCATCCTCAGCCAACAGGCTCTCAGGACTCTTCCTGTCTGAGTGACACTTCTCAGAAAGATGGAGACTTATACTGAGCGAGATCATGACATGTGGCATTATCTCGAGGGGTCCCCTACTGAATGGATTTGCGAAAGGCTGTTCTATGTTCGTCTATATTAGATATTTGGAGACCATGTGAGACATCCCCAGGACAGTACTGTACCTACGGACAAGATATCTGCTCTGCTATTATTTTGAAGTCTTTATTTCTAGGAACCAAACCATAGCAGAGATTAAAAACTGTGTTTCCGTATTTAAAGAGAATCCTTCCTTATCAGGGCACCAGCACCTTGGGTTCTTTCCCCCAGCAATGGGGATGAACAGACTGCACTGAGCTGACCACACACGGTTATCCTCATTCCCCTGTGACCGGCGGGTGGACTCCTGCAAACCATCTGGCCAAGCTTGGATGTGCAGCTTATGTTATGGCCAAAGATCTAAGATTTTCTCTGCACAAAGAGAAAGGGTCCAGCTGGAGACCTAATCGCTCCACCAACTGAACTGACCAGGTTAGATGGGAAGCCAAAACACACCTCAGTGTAAAAAGCAGAAAACCATCAGGAATGTTTAAATAACCTAATCTCATCGGGCCCTGCAAGACCCCTGGCAGCTTCCCCATCAGTTACCTTCACAGGCTTTGCCGTCAGCACTGGGCACAAAGCCCATGTCGCATTCACAGCGGTATCCTCCCGGGGCGTTCAGGCACTGGCCGTTGCCACACAGATTCAGATTCTCGGAGCACTCATCAAGATCTACAGCCAGAAAGGAACACAGGTGACTCTTTCTTAGCTGGGAGCTTTTTGAAGACTCAGGTCCAACAATTTTTTATCATTGTCACCTTCCTGAAGCTAGTGGTGTTTCACCATCATTTCTCCTTGATGTGTTTAAACCTATTTTTCTCTTCTGAATGCTAGTATTGAATATTCAGTGAACACGGGGTTCAGCTAGAGAATCCTGAATGCTACGTCATCTCTAACGTTTGCAAAATGGATGCTAAGTCAAACAGATCATTCTCGCTGAGGCTTTTGCAAGCAGGGTCATCAACATGGGGACACATCCCTGACAGGAAACATCACAGGGTGGTTTGTGCCTACTTCTCAAGTTTCGGGCTCAGCTCAGATGGGCAGCAATAGACCGAGAAGAGCAGCTACAGAAGAGACCAAGACTTGTTCCCTGCTCATCTCTTCTGAGTTTTGTTAATAATCAGAGGCATGATATATCAAACTCAGGAACCGCACATGCCTAATACATGAAACTTTGAATATTTTCTAAAAAGCAAATGGGGAGATGTATGAAGACAAAATGTCGCTGGCTTAGGCAAAAATAATTTCAAATATGATAAAACTTTTAATGAGTTTAAAAAATGTCCAGATAAATCACATCCTGGACCTCAGCTTCTTTTATGTTTAAATGACTTCTTGTGAACAGACTGCTCAGGACAAATGAATGCTTCCAATCACATGAGCAGCTATGCTACCTCACAGCCAGCAAGAAATGGATCTCATAGCTGATTTAATACTGCAGCCCTGACAGAGTGTTGTCTGTATACATGTGGCATCACCTATTTATACAACCACGTTTCCAATCATATATATTTAAATATATGTAATAGTTCACATTAATTCTCTGACTATTCATTAGAGCTGAGAAGAAAATGTTATCAACATATTGTAAAACTGGAATGAATTCCTTTCAAAGCAGTTATGAAACTCTTACTTTACATCAATGGGGAATGATAACAGTGAGGGTGAGGGGGAGAAAAATATATGCTGTTGATCTGACCCACAACATCTCATTTCTTTTCCTCACATGGCTTCCTACCACAAGTTCACTCTTGGGTTTAGTATGGAAAACAAGTCAGCAGTGAGAAACAGGCACAAAAATATAAAGGCTGAGAATCTAAAAGGAAGTGTGATCTGTTTTAAACTCATGACATCACTACATACAGTGGCAGGTATATCAGCTGTATAGCTATATATATATATACATACACACACACACACACACATACATATGTGTAAATACGTACTTAGTTTCTGCAGTCTCCCTAGTTGACGTGGCTACAAATTTCCATTCCAGATCGATGCAGTTTCAAATAGCTAATCTTTTCTGTTCAAAGTTGTCTATAACTAACTCAACCTTCAGAAAAGAACGGGTGGTCTGAATGACGCGGGGCACCTTGCGTTTCTGACTGCCATTTGCACAGCTGTTCCCGACACCAGCTCACCTGTACAAGTGAAGCCATCGCCCGTGTAGCCCTCCTTACAGAGGCAGCGGTAGGAGCCCATGGTGTTCTTGCAGTCTGCATGTTGGCTGCACATGTGGGTTCCATTGGAGCATTCGTCCAGATCTTAAGGAAGGGGGTTACACAACATTGTGAACAGAAAATGTGACGTTTAAAATCAGCAATACTCAGACAAATTAATTTTTTCTATACAGAATCGGTATGTTCATATTTATAATCCACGCAGTGCATAAGAAGCAATTTTGGTTATTTTCCAACCCACCGGTGCACTTAATGCCATCTCCGATCCACCCGGGGCTGCAGCTACATTTGAAGCTTCCTGCCGTGTTGGTACATACAGCATGTCTGTGGCAGTTGTGTGCTCCAATTTCACACTCATTGATGTCTGGAAGAACAACCAGTGGTTTAAAAAACAAGTTTAGCACGGATGCCTTTTGGGTCTTTTACATAACTTAGCAATACTCAAAAGTTGACTTGCTTTCACACCTCTCCCAGTATAACATAGGTGAGTTTAGCATCCACACATACACTGTGCATATGTTAAACAGCTTTGAATCTCAATTTATAAAGAACCATATGATGCTACTTGATATTGGTAACGCTAATTATTTTCCGTTATTTTTATGTTAAGTGTCCAATCATTGCAAAACAAAATGAGCCTCCTTCTAGTGGAAGATCTTAAAAAGTGAGTTCCTAACGCTCCACCCTATTAGCACTTGCAGTCATACGTTTCTGCTCCCAATATTCTTATTAAATCAACTATGCAGAAATGGTGCGCATTGCTTTCATATCTCCTACAAAGGAACACAATGTTGCTGGCATGTTAGAAAACTTTCTCAGTCATAGTCTCTATCCTAAATATCTTTCATTCTTAAATGTAAAACACTGTATTATTTCAACATGCTTTATTTCTGTAGAAGTTTTACTTTAGGTATTGCTAATTCAAGTGTTTACAGAGAATATTCCTTAAGGCAGTGTGTGAACCATCTTTTCTCTAGCTTCTTAGAGTCCTAGCACCTTGGGATCCAATCCTTCTTGCATATTTCATGTAAAACTCAAATTAATTCAATACAGATTTTTCGGTAAAAGGAGAGAGAACCAGATTAGGGTCACACTGCTAAAAGACTCCAAATTCTCAAAACTTCTCCATTTGAAACTCTCTTCAAAATTCCATTTCCAAATTTAGCCAACATAGATTCTATAACACAGAAGCGTTATGGATGAGGCTATAAAGTGAAATATGTTTTGTTTCCAGTGATATTGTGATTTACAACAAGAAATATATATTTGGTCTTTGTCCTGTTTCTGGCACAGAGCTCCTAAAACCCTTGGAATTTCCTAAGTGCTGAGAGTGATAAAGGTGTCTTTTGTTATGTTAATGAGGTGACTTTTGGAAAGCAAGTAAGGATGGGGGCTGGTTGCCAAGAGAATCAACAACATGATTAGACGGTTGGAACTTTCAGTTCCACCGGCAACCTCTAAGGAGGGGAGAGGGGCTGGAGGTTGAATCAATCACCAAAGGTCAATGATTTAATCAGCCATGCCCCCTGTAATGGAACCTCCAGAAAAACCCAAAAGGATAGGGTTTGGACGGCTTCCAGGCTGGTGAAGAGTGAGGATTTGGGGACAGTGGCATGCTCAGAGAAAGCGTGAAGGCTCTGTGCCACCTCCCCATAACTGCCCTGTGCCTTCCATCTGACTGTTCTGAGTTATACACTTTTAATAAACTGATAATCTAATGGTTTCCTGAGGTCTGTGAGCCACTCCAGCAAATTAGTCAAACCCAAGGATGGGGTAGTGGGAGCCTCTGATTTATAGCCTATTGGTCAGAAGCACATGCAGCAAGCAACCTGGAATTGTAACTGGCATCTGAAATGAGGACAATTCTATGGGACTGAGCCCTTAACCCGTGGGATCTGACACTACTCCCAGGTAGACAGTTGTCAGAATTAAGTTGAATTGTAAGATAGTGAGTCAGTGATCATAACTGAAATTGGTACCAGACCCTTATTTCCCAAAATTAATCTATTATATAATGAAAGACAGGCACTTAACCTCATAATCAACCTTTTCATTAACTAAGAACAAGAACTCCCAGGTATGGAAACAACGATTCTACGTGGAAGCCAACGTCTAACACAAAACTTAGGTTAAGAAGGCAAACCTTGGCATGTGCAATGTTGCAGGAATTTTCAGTGACCACTTGAATAGTGGCATGAAAAAGAAACTGGGCAAGCAACTTATGTTTACCCTTTTGTTTACTTAAGAAGCCCAATTAAATGATTTGAAAGTGTTTGGAACACGCTGTTTGCCAAATGTTCCATCTGAAGTTCTGAAATGGTCCTGAGATCTTTGGCTTCTTTTACAACTTCCAGAGCAAACATAAAATAAAATAATGACATCTTTCCTATAAAAACATTTAGTAAGATCACTAATAATTATGAAATGAAAACATGCCTGGAAGAATGTTCTTACAGCTCCAGCGTGTTGTATAGGTGAATTTTAATGTAACCTTGGCAGCCGCACGGACCTATTGAGTTATTAAGGCCAGGTCAAGGCAGGCACATACCAGGCAGCTTTAAACTTGTGAGCTTTAACCAACTGACTAATTGAGCCCGGCACATGCCAAGGAAATGAGGAGGAAGGCCGACCCAGGGATAATAGCGGGAAACGGGCACGGAATTCAAGAAAGTAAGGCTGACCTAAGAGCTCCCAAGGAGGGCGGCGGACACTTCTTTCCTCCTCGGATAATCCCTCCCCTCAGAGTTAATGATGCAAGCCACCGCTTCTGCAGAGTCCTGCCTCGGTGTCTCTCCTTTATTTGTCATGATCTCTGAGTTAGAAACAACGAGCTTCAATTGCCTAAGTACTGAGATCTCCAGATGCTACAGAATCAAGGAATTTTCGAAATGTAAAGAATCTGACTTTCCCAAGCCTCAGCTT